CGACGTTTCGCTTCGAGACGTGCACCCCGGTTGGCACCGATTATTCTGCCACGGAAAGCCCTAATTTTATTGATAAGCTTTATTCGTTCCGTGTGGACCATATTTTAGAAATCTGTGGTTACGTTTTTTAGCGAAACACTTATCTGCGTAACGGGACATCGCGCATGTCGATAACGCATCAGTCTCCTGGTCAATCCTGAGTAATAATCTTTTTATCCAGGTGTCTAGAATGGTTTGAACGTATAAAAGAAAAACAAGAAGGAGTCTATAGCGCACAAGTGACATGAACAAAGCTCTCGAAAGTGTCAACAAACAGCGTCCCTTCGTACAACTCGCACACGTTGCGGCGTACCGAAGGAAGCGCTTCAAAGGCGAGTAAAATGAACGCGAAAAGCTGTCGCTTTAAAATAAAAAAAGACTGTGCTATAGTAGGCGCGTTCTTTCCGACGTTTCAAGTTTCAACAACATTTCTTCTGTACCTAACGTAGGACAAAAAAACAAAAGCAAGCATGTCGGACAGATTATCGCTGCTCGAACGTCATCTCCCAACAACGGAAAGGTGATGTTGGCGGAACCAACCAAGGACAGGCCTTCCGCTCCCCCCCCCCCCCCATCCCCTCATGCCCCCCCCCCCCCCCTCCCAAAAAAAAAAAAAAAGTGACGTCGAGGAGGGAGATAAATAATGATCCCCCGAGTTGCATGCAGTGTCCGAGCGTTCTGTAGACCGCGCGATGCACACCACAAGAGACTGGCAGTGCCTGGTATGCAAAGAACTTTGGAGTCAAGCAGCCCCGCATTTCTTATGGATCGGCTGCATGGAAGGCAAGGAGTAGGCTCAGGAAGAGTGCGTGGGAGCTCACGCAGTTCGTATCAAATGTTCTTATTGCAAAAGCTGTGTACATATCAGGTTGTTTATTGTTTTAGAGCGCAGCTCTTAGGGGCCTGTTTCCGGCCTGAGAGGCGTCGCCGTCGGCGTAACCGCGCGGTGCATTATGAGAAATGTCCCATAATGCACCGCGCGAGCCCCCCCCCCCCCCCCCGGGGTCACGTGACCCTCCTCCCCTTCATCTGAGGTCACGTGACCCCTCGAGGTCACGTGACTCCCCTGAGGTCACGTGAACCCCGATGACGCGTAATCAGTAACGCCACTGATGACGTCACCAGCATCCGCATCGTCATCGCTGATGACGTCATCAGTGACGTCACTGATGACGTCACCGGCATCCGCATCGTCATCATCACTGATGACGTCATCGGCATCGTCACGTGCCCCCCCCCCCACAATCCCCCGAGGTCAGTTGAACCATCCCCTTCAGTACCCTTCCACCCTCCTCCTCCAGAGCTGCGCTCTAATTCGGCGTTACAGGGAGTTGTAAACGGCTTTCACTTTTTTCCCCGTTAAATTTAGTGGAGAATTGAATTGTTGAGGTCAAGTGACATCAATTTCCCCGTTAAATCTAGCGTAGAAACTGAATTTATTCATAGGCGACTGACACCAAGTTATGTTACGTCATTTTTCCCGCTAAAGTTAGCGGGGAAATGGATTGAAGGAGGACGGGAGAGGAGGCAACGGAGGAGCAGGAGGAGCAGAGGAGAGAATCATGGAGGACAAGGAGAGCGTACGGACGAGGAGGGGCATGACCTCCCCTCCGTACCCTCCCCTCCTCCTCCTCAAAAGCTGGGCTCTAATTTCGCATTACAGAAATTTGTACACATCTTTTTTTTTTCTACTATCGGTGTGTAATAGACCAGTGTAAGCAAGCCAACTGCGCAGGCGCGTGTATTCCGGAAGTGGTGCGGCCGCCATGCTACTTGTGGTCATCGCTTTCTGTTTCCCCGGCTGCATATAGGGCTGCGCGTACATCATCGTGCATTATCGTTTGGGACGCTCCAGTATCAGTTTGGATTCTCCCGCTTGTCTGTAATTCATAAAATTGTGTTGTCTGTGATGCCTTCATTTTTCACCAAGCGCATAAAAGCAGTTCCAGTTTTTTTATCACTTTAGAATCGCACTGTCGACTGTTTCGTCGTCGCCTGTTTCTTTGTCTTCGTGAACGTGTCAACCCACTGCGTTCGCGCGGTGGTCCCCCTGCGGCAACAAGAAAAACAACGTCTCAATGAACTTGGAGACAAGTGAACACCTGGTTCAATAACAAAGAACACGTAAATTCGAGGGTCAATCGGCTTGACACAGCATCAAGTGTCTTGCTGGAAAACTTAGCCTGGTTTGTACTCAGGCTCTTGCATAATGTTCAATCGACAATGAACTAAGAGCTAAATATAGTTTCTTGGCGAGCGATAGTTTTCTAAATGTCGTTTCATTCTGATTGACCGTCAGTGCGACAGGGTGCAGATGAACAGCGAGGTGAAGCCTGTACACAAAGAGGGAACGATCTACAGAAAGACCATACCTGATGCGCCGTAACCCCTCGCATCTGTCAAAAAGAAGCAACCATGCCAGATACCTGAAAACTTTGGGTGGAAACGCGTTTTCGTGTACAGTTTTTATTCCGTTTTATTTTGTTTGCGCAAGCTCCGAGTGCGAACAGACGCCTGAAGGGGAAAGCCTTTTTGCAGAATGAATTAGTAACGCCAGCCAAAATCAAGTGGCACAATAGACCACGGAAAGGTGGGCGAGGTTCGTTTGCTACCTTTTTGGCGGTAAGTGTAGCACTTCTATATTGCATTATGCGGTGTTTTCCCGTTTTGTTTTGAAAAAAAAAGATAAAGACCGCTTTCAAAAAAAGTTTTTATTTCACGTGATGCATATCGGGAATCACTGCTCTTTCTTTAGTAATTGTCCTGATTTTTTAAAGCAGAGTTCTGCTTAAAACATGTCGTCGCAATAACAGTTGCGATGACATCGAGCAAAAGGTATATTTAAAACGGCCGCCGCAAAGCAGTGCGGAGGTCCTTATAGAGATACCAACGAATAGCATTAGTCAATTTCAAAGAATACAGAAACCAATTAACAACGGAAATTAGAAAATCTAAAAGAATTTATTATTCTAGTCTGTTTGATGCTGAGTGTCTAAAAAAGGCCGATATATTATGGAAACGTATAAATAGTGTTTTCAATTCGTCTTACAAGCCAGAAAGTTTCGAAAATTTTAAACATAATGGAGAGGTCTTAAGTGCCTCAAACCTGGCAAACGTATTTAACAATCATTTTGTGAATATCGGGAACAACTCTTATTATCATGAAGCGTCAGAAAATATTAAGCCTATCTCGGAATCGCTCTTTATGTACCCCACATATGAGACTGAAGTGTGTTCCTCTATTATGTGTCTGAGTAACAGTGGCAGTCGTGATGCGGATGATTTACAAATTAAACCTGTAAAATATGTAGCAGATATTATTGCCCCATATATAACATACATATACAACCTCGCAATATCTTCCGGTATCTTTCCTAAAAAAATGCAAATCGCGAAAGTTGTAGCTTTATTCAAATCAGGAAACAAAAATGAGTTAGGAAATTACCGTCCTATATCCATTTTTCCAGTATTCTCAAAAGGGTTAGAAAAGATTATTCACTCCCGCATTATTAATTTCTGTGATAAGCACTCGCTCATTACTGACTGTCAATTTGGATTCCGAAAACATAGATCAACAGAAACAGCCTTATTAGTTCAAAAAGAACATATACTTAGAAATTTCGAAGACAAAATTTTGACGCTTGGATTGTTTTTAGATTTCAGCAAAGCATTTGATTGCATAAATCATTTAATCCTGCTAGATAAATTATTTTCTTATGGCATTCGCGACCTTCCACTCACACTAATTAAGTCCTATTTACAGCATCGCTCCCAATTTGTGCAAATTAAAAGTCAGAGATCAACACCTTTAAATATATTATCAGGAGTTCCCCAGGGAAGTATCCTCGGGCCACTTCTTTTTTTGTTATATATAAATGACATAGTGAAACTCGATTCAAGTTGCAAATATATTATCTATGCAGACGACACCAGTGTATTTTTTTCAGATTCATCCGAGGAGGGTCTTGTAAATAAAGCAAATGCGTTTCTTATAAAATTAAAAACATGGGCTGAAGTAAATTGTTTAACTATTAATGTCTCAAAAACAAAAGCAATATTATTTCGCCCACGTGGTTCGAGCGATAGATTATACAATCCTCTCAAATTTGGATCCTTGCACATTGAATTTGTAAATAGTGTTAAAACACTTGGAGTTATTTTTTGTGATAATATGCTCTGGACTAACCATATAAGAAAGCTCTGCTCTAAACTGGGTAAATCTGTAGGAAATATGAACAAACATAGACATGTTCTACCGAAAAGCGTAAAAAGGGTTTTATATAACTCATTATTTTATTCCCATTTGTGTTATTGCAATCTCGTCTGGGGAAATACGTCTGATTCAAATTTAAATATGATACATTTATTGCAAAAAAAGGTGATACGAATAATAGCAGATGTTTCTTACATTCATCACACCGAATCATTGTTTCAATTATATAGGATCCTTAACATACAGCAAATTTATAACTACCGTTTAACAATAGCTTACAGAAATGCTACTTACGGCCGTTCCAGTACAATTCTTCAACTATCTGAATTAAAAGAAACAGAGAATCATTACCCGTCTAGACATCACCAACCTTGGAAAATTCCGAAATGCAGGACAAATTATGGAAAACAAACAATACGTTATGCTAGTCAGGTTGTTGCCAGACTTAGCACTTCAATTATACTAGAAACGCCGCGGTCCGCCGCCAAGGTCCGGGCAAGAAAAGTCGCTTGGCATTTCTCACAAGCGCGGGCCGCGGACCGCCAGCGGACCTCGAAAACCGGTGACGTAAGATCACGTGATGCGCGGCCCGCGGACCGAAACAGCAATTTGGTCCGTCATCTGGATACGCCTTAACCACTCAGTCACGCTCGCATTATTTTTATTGAACTCGGCCATGCAAGCGTTCGCTCGTCGACGCGCGTGGCAATATTTCCATTGCCTCCTTTCCTCTGTCTTGTCGTCACAGGGGAGCCGTGCAACACAACGCAGCAGTGCTGGCTGAAAGACCCCGACCTCACCTGCCTGGATCAGCTGTGCGCATGCCCTGCCGACAAGTTCCCGACGGCTGAGGGTCGTTGCAACCCGCGTCAGTATACGCCTCGCTGACTTCTTGGGTACAGGAAGCTCTAGGGCGGTTACATAGAACGCTTTTTCCCCTCCTGTAAGCGGCGTCCCACCAAGTTGATGAACTTCATGCGCCACTTTCTCTATTGATTAGCGCGCGACGTTTCGTTATTACCGTCGTTTTTGGTGTTGCTGAAACGCACAAGGCTGGTGAGTTACTCCATCGACCACGGAATTCAGTAAGCACAACCAGAAACGAATATGGGCCGCTCTTTCTGCCTTCGGCGCGTTACCTCGGCGGCATCGACTCCGGGGCTATCTTGGCCGTTAAATGGTCGAATTTTCTGTCGACAACCCGTTTAAAGTTAAAAAAAAAAAAAAAAAAAACGACGTATAAAAAAAGGTTGACCGGACGATGCTTTTTTTATGTTTTTGACTTTGACTCAGGTTGTTGCCAGACTTAGCACTCGTCGCAGTCGACTGGCGCAGTCGACTACGACCAATAATTTCTCTGCGCACAGGAAGACATGGGGTGAAAATTTATCATCATGACATACTGCAAGGTTTCGACCCGAAATACGTAGTGTGAAACCGCTTTATGCTGTTCACCGACTTGTGTTTAGAATCTTTTCAACGCATATAGTAACGCAGAATGAGATCAGGCAGAAGGTGCGGTCGGTCAAGAAGTTTAAGACTCGAGATATTTCTAACACCATAAAAGGGAGCTCCGGCGGCTTTGTTGTTGTTGTTTTTTAGCTACCCAAACTAAACGCATTTTTGCAATACCTTGTTGTTACCCTTTACGACATGCGAATTATTATCTCTAAATAAAATATCTTGCTAAAACGCCGTATGAAACGCCGTTAGCCCCGACTCCAATGACGTGCAGAAGAGGGGCGCTCTTATTAATGCCCCTCGTTTTAAGAACTTTTTGTAGATCGTTTCCGCCATCCCACAGAGCTCTCCGCAACCTAGTACGACCACCGGAACTCTGAGCACAAGGGTAGCGACGCGCATGCATGTTAACTGGGCCCTCGTTGCGGAGAGCCTTGACGGACGGAGGAAACGATCTATGAGAAGTCTTAGCGAGTTTTAGAGTAGCGTACCCACAATTATGCTGTTCTAAAAAAACATTACGTAGTCGCCATGCGGCAATCAATAACGCGATTGGGGCTCAACGTACGCGCAGTGGCGCCGACGCTATTTCATTACGTGCGCGAAGCTTTTGAGTGGACTACTCTAAAACTCGCTATCTGCGAGTGTTAGAGTTGCGTACTCAGAAGCGCTTCAATACGGGCGGTTTAGCGCCTCGTTATGGGCGAGGCTTGTGGCGCGTATGCATTCAGTTGCCAAATTCAGGGACGAAAACGCGAAACACGATAATGATTTTAGAGCGCAGCTCTTAGGCGCCCGTTTCCGTCTTGAGCGGCGTCGCCGTCGGCGTAACCGCGCGTTGCATTATGGGACGTTTCCCATAATGACGTCGCACGTGACGTCACGTGTGACGTCACGACGGCAAAATTTTCCCTCTAAATTTGGCGGGAAAGTTTTCTCCTAAATTTAGCCTTGAAATTTTTCGCTAAATTTAGCGGAGAAATGTTTCCCTCGTGACGTCACACGTGACGTACTCAACCCGTGAAAATTTTTCCACTAAATTTGGCGGGAAAATATTTCCGATAAGTTTAGCGGAGAAATGTTTTGGCTAAATTTAGCGGGAAAAGTTTACCCTCGTGACGTCACGTGACGTCACACGTGACTATCGCCTCCGTACCCTACCCTCGTCTTCCTCCTCAAGAGCTGTGCTCTAATTCGGCATTACAAAAAAATTTAAACGTCTTTACCATGATGGAACTTAACCCGAGACTGGGGTAGAAACAGAAACTTAAAAGTAGAAGGGACAGAGACAAGTGAAGAAGAGAACGTCTCAAACGCAGCTAAAAGATTTATTTAGTCCCACATCCTTATATACTCACAACCACAAGGTCACCCAAACACTCAACACGCCCCTTTCAAAGGCACAACACACCAAAAAAAAAAAAAAAGGATCCAAAGACAACAATGCAAAGGGACGCCCCTCAAGCAATACTACGAACAGGGGCAACCCATCCACTTGTCCGAAAAGAAAAACTTTTCATTTTTCCCTTTTCGGACAAGTGGATGGTTTGCCCCTGTTCGTAGTATTGCTTGAGGGGCGTCCCTTTGCATTGTTGTCTTTGGATCTTTTCTTTTTTTTTGGTGTGTTGTGCCTTTGAAAGGGGCGTGTTGAGTGTTTGGGTGACCTTGTGGTTGTGAGTATATAAGGATGTGGGACTAAATAAATCTTTTAGCTGCGTTTGAGACGTTCTCTTCTTCACTTGTCTCTGTCCCTTCTACTTTTAAGTTTCTGTTTCTACCCCAGTCTCGGGTTAAGTTCCATCATGGTAAATATCCACCAGCTCGCCTGCACTTTAACCGTTTTTTCATTAAACGTCTTTCATCTTTTTCTTTTAAGATATCGAACATATTGCTTGTTTGTTTTTGTAATTCGTATGAGTTGGTTTCCCGTATAATTACCATTGCCTGGTAAACTCCATGCGCAAAATGATCCAACTTAACTGTTAGTCAACTATTTTAATAAATTATCCTAATGACCCCGGCACGTTATCTCCTTGTTCGGATGTACGAACGGTTAAACTGCACGGGAAAGTCGAGAGAAGGAGCAATTGTACAGTTGGGGAGAAAACGTTTGAAGCAAGAAATGTTCGTTTTGCAAAGGCCACTAAATATGAAACGTGATGCCTTTCCCGTGAAAGTTTAAACTTTTATTTTGAGCACTATGGGGTTGTTTTCTTTTATGTCCGCAGGGCGGAAGCTGGGGGAGAACTGTACGAATGACAAGGCGTGCTCGGCAATGTTAGCGGCATGCATCAACGGCCTCTGCAGCTGTCCGGTGGGATTCAAACTCCAGAAGGAAAACTCGTGCGTGAAATCAGGTGAATGCCTTACAACTCTCGTAGCATCAACGTCTCTCCGGATTGGTTCGTACGCAAAATCATTTTGTAGAGATTTGGGCGTCTTTACCATCAATAGTTGGTGGCAGGTTGAGAGTTCAGGAAAAGCTTCTCTCACCTCTTTCCACTTTAGCAGAGCGAACGCTGAAGAGAAGGTCGCTTTCTCTCCAGCGTTCCCTTTGCTAAAGTGGAAAGAGGTGGAAGGAGCTTCCCCTGCACTCTTAGAAAACCTCTGAAGAGAAAGAAAACATTTTTTTAACAGTCTGGTTGGACACGCGTACCAAAAAAAAAAAGTAATTTTATGCGAAAAAAATGCATTGCAATATTGACGGCGCGATATTTATTTTAAATTTTGCGCGCAAAGTCCATGACGTCACGGAATGGTCATACTCTCTTTCTACGTCATGAAGATGCTCATATGCTCTCTCCACCTCAACGCGATGGCCAAGCCGATCCACCTTTCCTCCACGCGCCCAAAATGCCGAGAGAGAAAAGAAGTGGAACGGAGGTGACTGCCGACAAAGTCCCGTCTCGCACCATCAGTTTGGTCTAAAAAAGTTTTTCTTCGCGTCAAATTAATTTCTCGACACGTGTGTCCCAAACACACTGTTAAAAAATGAAGGACGTTTACAACTCCCTGTAATGCCGAATTAGAGCGCATCTCTTGAGGAGGAGGAGGGTAGGGTACGAAGGCGACGGCATGCCTCTCCTCCTCCCTCCATCTACTTCTCCCCTGCTCCTCGCCTTCTCCCTCCTCCTCCTCCTCCTGCTTCTTCCTCCTCCCTCCTCCTCCCCCCTTTATCCCTCCCGCGCGGTGCAATATGGAAAATGTCCCATAATGCAACGCGCGCGTCACCGCGGTGCATTATGGGACGCTCCCATAATGCACCGCGCGGTTATGCTGACGCCCACGCGTCACGCCGACGGGTTACGCCGATGCGTTACGGTTACGCCGACGGCGATGGCGACGCCGCTCAAACCGGAAACAAACGCCTAAAAACTGCGCTCCAAAAAAAAAAATAAACACTTTTTTTTTAGGGTTTCTTTACCCTTTGCCTACCGCAAAAATTTTGAAAATCAAACGATTTGAAAATACCGAATTTTTTTATGTACTCTGAAAATTTAATATGCAATACAAAGGCCAAAAACAAATTCCAAAATATTTATTGTATTAGAAATCTTTGATCACACTACAAAAGAACAAGGGACTAAAGTTCCGCTTCACTGCATTACCAGAGACAGTTCTCATCACCTTGCACATGGACGTTCAGGCCGGGCGTAGCAGTACTGCAGACAGTTCACATCACATTGCACGCAAAGTGGACGCAAAACGTGGAGGGGCTGAAGGGAGATTTTCTACATTGATTCTAGCCCATGCCGACACGATGTCCTCATCGAAATCGGAGTCGTCTGAGCTCAAATCCAGTAACTCAGTTGCATTGCTCTCGCTGTTCGATGAAAGATTCATTTCCTCGTCTTCTGAATCTGAAGAGACGTCACAATATCCTCGTTTTCGCCCCAATTTTGAGGAAAATCGTCACTACGAGCGCAGCGACCAGAAGTCCAAAAGTTGACGTCGCCATTTTTAAATCCCCTGTTGCCTGCGCTGAAACACTTTTCTGCCAAATTCAGAAATTTACCGTGTAGTGCCATCTATCCACGGCAAAGCTCACTAGAAACACGTGGACTAGCCCAGTTCGTCCATGGTAGCGTATTGGAGCCCGAATCAACGTGGACGGGCCCAGCTCGTCTTCGGGAGGAGCGGTACAAACAGTGCGGACGAGCTCAGGTCGTCCATGGTAGGGAAAGGGTTAAAGGGAGCCTGAACCGAAATCTGGATTCCACAAAACACGACGGCAAAAGCGTGCAACGGGATGCTACAAACACCAAAACACCGCTCATACAGCGATATCTCGAACGGATGACCGTATTTTCTAAAAAAAAAAAAAGAGGCGCATTTGACAGATATGTGGACGTCTTGTTTATCCGAGAAGAGCCGAGAAGGAGAGGAAATGGCATCGCGTCTTCTCCGCATCGCGGGGGCGAAGCGAAGAGAGGAAGAAATGAGATATCTCTACGTCACGCGCCTCGTCGGCCTCGTTCAATCTCGACCTATTTTTCCAGAAATACGGCCGTCCATTCGAGATATCGCCTTATGAGTAGTGTTGTAGGAATTGTAGCGTGCCGGCACTACGGCACTGTTTTCTGAAATCTAAATTTCGGTTCATCGTCCCTCTAAGAAGGCGAAGTACAGTTGGCGCATTCCGCTTCCTCGTCCCACCTCCTCTCCCGTCCTCCTCCCCCCTTTATCCTCCTCACCCGCGCGATTAATAGAAGGGGAGATTAAGGCGGCTTCTCGGTCACAGCTTGATGGTGAATTCGCGTGGTCAATCGCCGGCGAGACCGAGCCAACGGAACCGGCAACCAGAAATACACCGGCGGCATACCACGTGACCCTCTGCACTCGAACACGAAACGCCAGACGGTGGCAGTTTACTTTGCCTCTTGCCCGCGCGGCTAGCTAGAGGCTGTCGCCGCCGTCACCCGTCAAAAACTCTTCCATCTGGACGGCGCGAGAGCCACCATTTCACTGGTCACCTTCCAAAGTTCGTGTTTTGGAGGAGAGAGAAGGCGCCCGGAAACACTGATAGATTCCAGTCGTTCGTCGCCGTGGCCGCCAAAATCTAGAGCCCCGACGCAGGCAGGGCGAGGATTCTGACGGCCCCGGTGACTTCGAGCGATCTGCTGCGCTGAGCCCGTCGCTCACCTGCGTGCATAAAGGCGACTTGTGCGCCAACCGCTTGTCAAGTGCTCGTTACGTGAGTTATAAGTTCTGGTAGCGGTCTAAACGGCCCTTTTCAGTGCCCCCATATTTTGCAATTGGAGCTCTTTTCTGAATGCGGCACCTCGTGTGTCTGTAAAAAGTTCAAAGGAAAGACCCAGCAAAGGTATGGGGCCCCAACCTGGATATCGCGTTTTATGATTCAAATAATATTTGTCCTTGCTTATTTCGCGCCTTTAATCCCAATAAATGCCGCCGTTGCAGTCGTCTCGCGGTACTGTTGCTCGCCCATTCGCCGTCGGCGTGTCTCAGCTTCGTTGTCTTTGCCAGCGGCGCACCGGCGAAGGCGGTTGATCTGACCAATACCACCTATAACACAAGGCCTGCGCGTTTCCTCCTCTAAACGTCATCACTAGTAGATCCCCTCAGCGCCCCCTAGCTAGCCCGGATGAGCAACATCGTCTGCTACATCGTCTGCTCCATCGCCTGCTTCAGTGGTTTGTGTAACAGATAATGAAATAGATGCTCACGCCGAGTGTCTCTTGCAAATAGCATACGATGAAGTTAGACGTTCACGTGGAGCGTCAAATGCATGAGCGAAATTGCCTTACTGCTGCGCGAAGGGCTGAAAAGCGACGCTGGACGCTGACACTGGACGCCATTTTCGAGGGCGCTGTTTATACCTCGGGTAGCTGCTTCGAACCGTTCTACCGCAGAAGGAGCGCGCGCGCTAGAAATGCGCGTCTCAAAACCAGGAGCGCGTGCTAGCTCGCGCTCCTGGCCGAGGGAGCGTTCGCGTGCACGACGCAAATGCACTGGAAGCTCGCTATCAGCTCGCGCTCAGCAGTCACGCACACAGCTGCGGCCGCAAGTGAATGCGACGTAGTTGCGACGCGGCCCCTACTCTCGTCAAGCTTCGGGGTATTTGCCGCTTGGGGCGGGTCGGGGATCTACTAAAGAAACGTCATGCGCAGGCCTTGTCTTCTAGGTGGTATTGATCTGACACCCCGCGTTTGGCTTTGGCTAGCAGACGGCGTTCGAAAAATGGCGTCAGCTGTTGCTGGCTTTATGCGGCGGTACCGTGCGTGCTTCCATTCATTCGGCGTTCGTTGCCATGGTGACGGCGAGGAAACCAGACGAACTTTATGTTGCGGAAGAACGCTGCGGCGCAGCGATACCAGGTGCGATCTAAGGCCCTTCCCGCATGCTTTTCAATGGGCGGAAGGCGAACAAAAAGAGTTCTAAATAAGGACTTAACGCAGAAAGCTGCATTTCTCCAGCGCCCCATAATTTGACAAGCCTTACACGGAAAACGCGGTTTTTTTGTTGTTTTTTTTGGCCATCCTGCGTCTTGGTTTTTTTTATCTGTAACATGGGTCTAAAGTATCAAACTGCCGAATATTTTTAGATCGCGTTTTAATTGTTCTTCGTGACGCTCGCTCACTCTGCTCGCGGAGGCTATGAAAGAAAACAAGAATATTTCATTTAATTTAGTTATTTCGCAGTAAAAGGGACACAGCACACAAAAAACGAAAACAGAGTAGAAAGGTGGGCACAAAACAAGCGCTGTGCGAGGACCTTTCTTTTGTGTACACCTCTCTACATCGTTTTCGTATTTTGTACGTTGTGTCGATTTTACTAAGTATATAAACCAACTAGCCCGCATCGCAACCCTAATGTTGTTCTTCAGGTCGCTATTTACCGCACATAGACAGACGGTGACAGACGCCAGTATTAGTCCGTGGCTCTTGCATAATAGAACGCTAGAACGCCGTTTCGTAGTCGTGTCTTGCGATCGTCGCAGACGGATTTAGGCGCGGGCGGAATAGCGGACGGACGCAATTATAGCGACGGCAGACGGACGCAAGCGCGCGTCTGCCCGCACCAGCAGATGGCGTCAAACGGCAGACTACAGATGCACCGGTCGTCACGACGTGGAGACATCAGGCTTGCGAACGTGTTCAGCCAACAGCCCCTAGGTAAGCAGAAAGCCTCCGCACCTTCATCACGGTCAGATCGATCGAGGCCTGAGATTGGACACGAATGCTGCGTCAGTGTTCAGCCGGGGCTCGTGTTCAATCAGCGCGTCGAAGGTCGGACTCGGCCCCAATAACCGGGTTAGCGCGATCGGACTGTGATGACGTTTCATGAAGGGAGAGGAGTCGATGCGGAGGCTTTGATTATCCTAGGTGGTGTTGGCTCAGCCGAGCAGCCAAGCTAAACCAGTAGTAATGGGCGGGGCCACCGTTCTGCGGGCAGGGCCTAGAGCGGGTGGTGAACTCCACATAGTTTGTACCTAACGTTGTAAATATTGCGCAATTTTTTTTTGCACGAAAATGTAGAAAAAAAGTCCTGCCCCATTTAAGCCCGTAATAAAAGTTTTCTTGTTTATTTCAGTGTCTCTTTAATGGGCGTGAGATGTCTAAGCTGTAGATGAGAAATTTAGCCAGTGGAGTACGACCGCCAGTATGGGGTATTTAACCTGCAACAGGCAGTCGTGATACACGACCGCACGCCGGTACGATGCTCACCCATATCAGATATAGTTTTAAAATAAGGGATTCCAAAGCTTGCGCCCCTAGAAAAAAGGGGCTCACCACTGCGTACGCGTCGAACCCAAACTGCGTTCTGGGGTTCTGGGTCGGCGCTCGCCCCTAACGTAAAATTCGAAAAAAGCGTGGGGCCCCCTATTTGCTTGAGGCCGGGATGCATCGACAAACATGGCGGCGCCCTTTCAGCTCGCTTTGGAGCAAATGCGTCATGGTCGCTGCCGTATTAGTCACGTTCATTGCCAGTGAGTGCTGCAGACGGCTTTCGCTTCGCTTTATTTCGCTCAAATCACAAAGAATGGGCGGCGAGCTTTCCCTGTCTTAAATATCGTCTTTTGATTCTGGCCGTTTCTCGGCCTAATGAGACATGGTAACCGCTAACATGGTAACGTCTCGCTACTACTTCGAGTGGATTTCCTTGGCTCGATCGGCCGGGCGTTTGTGGCACCGGTGGCACGTCACCTGTAGTTTAAAAACAAGTCTTCAAATGCTTCCAAGTCGCTCCACCTCAGATCCTAACAAGGCAGCTGCTCGCAGACTTGACTCGCCCGTCTTCGTCTCGAATTCGGCATGTTTGAAGGCCTAAATCTTCGACGACAGACGGTCGACGCGGCACACGAACGCCAAAAACAATCCGAGAACTAACACCAAATTAGAGCGCTACGGATTGGATATTTTTGGGCTAAACACAGTTAGCCATATTTATACAAGTTTTAGACTGTCTTTTGTTTTAGCCGGCTTGTCTTGGTTTTACCTTAACTGTTATTTGTAAACAGAAATCACTTGTTAATTTTATAGTTTTTTTACATTTTGTTACTTTTTTTAAAAGGGGGGGGGGTATATAAAACCCCTTATTGAAACGGACAGTGGTGGAAATAGAACCCAAAAACCCTGGATTCTGCAGTGCTAGCTTTCGCTACACGTGCTCCGGGTTGAGGTGCGCTAACCCACTGACCACCGATAACCCCTAAACAGTCACAGAGAGACAGTTTGAGTAATAAATTTAAAATTGATCTTGCATCTGCCAGTATTGTGTCTTATGCTTTTCGTTTCAGACCATACCGCCACCTTGCGCCTTTAAAAACCCAAATAAATATCATTGTTGCTGTGCAACTAGCACGGTGTACGCGAGCTCAAAAGCAGAAATCATTATTTTAGGGTAAAGTGATTTTAATCACATAATGCTAATTTAAATTATAGAAATGCCATTTAAAATACAAGAGAAAAGTTCCGAGGACACCTAAGCACTTTTTATAAGTTGTGAACGCGAAAGCATGAATTTCGCTCTTCCGCTTCCTTAGTTCGTCTGGCGTGGACGGCCACGTTTCGCTACTGCTGAGGTTGCGGCCGACGGCCGAGCGCGCGTCCTCGTGAAATGGCCGAGCGGCGCTGAGCTCGGCCGTGCAGCCTCATAGGAGTCCGCCCGGGTGCTGGCTCTGTGGCCAGACGCTCCCTCTTTCCGGCAGTCGGGCCGCTGCGTCGCCATAGAGAGGGCTTCTCTGTGGGGTGGCTTTCCTTGGAACTACGCCGCGGGGCTGCCAATGGGAAATTCGTTCCTTGAAACAGTGACGCACGCCAGCCAATGGGAGCCTATTCATCAAATCGCCGCTACAGACAACAGGCTTCACTCCATTGGGACAGGGGAGTTTAGGGGCTGTTTGACGCGGCTTCAAAAGCAGATAACGCCTGTTCGCTCCATAGGACAGTTAATGGTTTCGCATTAAAACTCTAACCGCTTAAAATTTAAAACCCCAACGTTTTTAAAAACTCTCCTCCGTACCACCCCAACCCACGTTGGGGCAATACGGGGGAGGGTAGCAGGTAAGGTCAGGAAAAATGTGGCGATTGTTCCCTACGCTCACAGCATATCGCACGAGTTTGAAAGAGCCGGCTCGAGAGACGGGGTCGAAGTGGTGTTTTTAGCACGGAACAAGTTACCAGGATTTTCTCGGCAGTGAGCGTGAGCACGGATAAAATGCCGGGAGAAAGTGGCTGTACCATAGAACATTGCACCGAGTTTGTGCCATGCACCAAGAGGGTGCATGGGATACCTTTGTCCTGCAAGATACCTTTGTTCTGCGAGGAAGTATACTTTTGCACCCACGGGGCTGTGCCTCAATATCCGTCTAATACCCTAGTCACACGGGCGCCCTTCACCGCAGTTAAGTGTGACTGAGGTCCCACTTGAGGTTAAGGATGCCCGACGGGTATCCTGAACCGCAGTTATGCTTAAGTATGGTTTCCGTTACTGCCAACTATACCGTAGTTGTGCGGACACCCTTAATCTAAGTCTGGCCCCAGTCCCACTTAACTGCGGCTAAGGGTGCCCCTGTAAGAGCATTACAAGAGAGCACCGCGTTTCTTCAGCAGGAACCACTTCCTCCAAGTTGGCACTAGATTGCAGAGACCGCATCCGCAAGCCGCTCCTAGAAAAAGCTGTCGTGTTCTACAAACACAGAAACAAACAAGCGCGAGAGATATTTGAGGCACAAAAGATAAAAAGGAAGAATCAACATGTGTGAGTCAGGCTTCTTTTGGCACTGTTAGGTAGTGAGGTGGTGTTTTTAGATCGTGGGATGGCCGATCGACAGTGTAGAACCGATGACACCTTTCTCGTTGATGGACTGCAGGCGCAGTCCATCATGAGTAGGGGGTTGTGTATGTAGGTTTTTCTTGCTTCTCAAAAACTAAAACCAGTCAGGGTTTAGTCAGCGCTCGTGTTCTCCACACTTTCTTTCTCTTCGTCCGTATCTAGTCGCGCTGCTTCAATATGTCAAATCAAATTTGGGGGTTTCACGTGCCAAACAAACGACGGGCATCCGGCACGCCCCAGAGGAGGATTGGGGATTAGTTTGGACCACCTGGGTATCTTTTGGTGTGGAACCGAAAGCTCGGGCGCCTTCTCCGCAATAAGCCTCCGTTAGATTGCGGGCACCTCGGCCGGAATTCCAACCCCCTGCCTGGGGATCCGTAGACCGGCGCTTTGCTTCGGAGCCACCGAGGCGGCTGGTTTAAATATGAATAACCCAAACTAAAAAGAAACTGGAACGGTACAAGTTTCAAAGTTTGAACGTTACCGAAGAAAAAGCGAGGGTGCCATCTTCGGTCACCATATTACACATGCGCCAATCTAGCTGGTGCATGTTTAGCATGGATCATTTGCTCGGGACTGGAGTTTCCTAAGGAATGACATATGCATTTTTAGAAAAACAGTTTTGGGTAGATTCAATATGTTTCAAGGTTACTTTACATTGCCAGCCAAATTATATTTTTATCTTTTTCTGGGGGAAATGGGGATGCTGTCTTAGTATTTGACCACTGCGAGCACCTTCTGGGGGAGCGAAAGAACCCACGTGAAACATCCGTGACATTCAAAAAATCTTTTAACATTTTTTTGAGGAGGCACTAAGCATGATAACCAAAACTGCAGCGTACATATTAACAGAAAAATACCCTAAAATGTGTTTTATGAAAATAATGGCACGAATTTTATTGTCAGTTTACCGTGTATAAAATTATGTGAGGTTAACGCGCAAAAAATCACACCTGTGAATGTAACCATTTAGTACGGGAAGAGTCACGTCATCGGTGTGTTTTACGAAAACACTTCACATTGGAGTGCCGCCGGCGAGTTTTAGAGCGCAGCTCTTAGGCCTGGTTCCCACTTGCGAATCGGCGGGCGAATCTGCAAGAATTCGGCCTCCGGGCGTAGCGTCCACTGTGCATTCCCGCGGCCGATTCCGCTTCGGCGGCAGTGGATTAGCTGTAAGTGTGAACCAGGCCTTAGGCGCCCGTTTCCGGCTTGAGCGGCGTCGCCGTCGGCGTAACCGTGAGGTCACGTGAGCCCCCCCCCCCCCCCCGAGGTCACGTGACATTGGTGGGTGACCTGACCCCCACCCCCCGCGAGGTCACGTGCCCCCTGTCACTTGACCCCCAAGGTCCCGTGACCCCCCCCCCCTCCGAGGTCACGTGACCCCTCCCCCAGGTCACGTGACCGCTCCCCCCCCCATCCCGAGAACACGTGACCCTCAGTACCCTTCCTTCCTCCTCCTCAAGAGCTGCGCTCTAATTCGGCGTTAGAGGGAGTTGTAAACGGCTTTTTTTCTTCACACTTTCAGATATTCCGGTTGTCTGGAAAAGGGTCGCAGTGGTAATATCTGTTTCGATTGCCTGTGCCCTCCTGCTTCTCCTCTTGTGCTGCATCGTTCTCCTAATGTTGAGGTGAGACTCGAAGGAAAAACAGATTCTAAACACAACAAACTAAACTGACACAGTTAACGCTCTTCTCACGGAGTCAGTGTACTCGTGTTGCTCTCTCGAGAACGATACACCTGTGCCCGTGACTTCCGGGGCTGCAAAGGATAGCGCACTAGGGCAGTTAATAGTTCTTAGATTTATTGGTCACATTTTCGCAAACGTACATTAGCTTATAAAGCTATTTGCAGATGATTGCGCAGCGTACCGAATTGTTGAAAATGAAGGGGACGCTCGTATCCTGCAAAACGATTTAGAAGTGCTGGAGGACTAGGGTGCTCATCGGGAAATTACCTTTAATATCAAAATGTTTAAATACGTGTACTCAATGCAATGATTAGGCGAATATGTATCAACTAAAAAAAGGAATACTTATGCAATAGAAGTATTTCGGGGTTTATTTTTCATTTACCTTAAAATGGAACAACCATCACCCAGATAATGTTGAAGCCAAGGCTACTTTGCATTTTGTACGAAGAAATCTTTAAAGCGCATCCCTGCAGCGTGAAACGAACATTGCATTTCCCTTTCATCAGACAAATTTCGAAGCAAGCTTGTGTCTTTAGGACGCTCCTCAAAGTGGCCATGCACGTGAGTTAGAGCGAATTCAAAATCAAGCGCAAAGGTTTGTGATATGCAACTACAATCCCTATTCAAGTGGCACTAAAATGAAACACAGATTAGATTGTAACCTTATTAAGGAAATATAAAAGTACTAACCATTTAACTTTATCATTGTATATAATATGGTCATACAGGTATGCAAAGATGTCTCTGCAACCTGCCACCAGATCATGTGTTTTTCGACTGGATCATTCTAAATTGTAAAATAGCGTTATCACATAGAAGGTTTCTACTTTCTGTTCTTGGTTCAGAGTATCCGTGTTTAGAATGTACTACCGAAGTAAGTTATTATTTTGTAAGTAAAATTCGTTTTTCTTTTTTCTAATTTATTACAAAAATGCATTACATAGTGGACCATGTTCTACGGCTTGTTTATGTGTTTTTGTTTATTATCTTTATTAGAGAGTTTTAGGGAGTCATCTTTACATTTCCGATACGGTACGATGAGCCCTCCGGTGCGAACTGCGCATGCGCTACCACAGAAGACTCACGCATGCGCATGCGTACCGGAGGACTCATCGTACCGCATCGGACGGGCAAAAACGGTTCCCTAAAACTCCCTATTTACTCCACCGGATCGTAAAGTTGTTTGCGGTTGGAAGTTCTAACCACAGTCAACTTTCCGATCCGGTGGAGTAAATATGAAGTTTTAGGGAACCCTTTTTGGGCCCGTCCGTAGAACTGATGTGAAACGGAGTGTAGGGTCCATTTATGCCGCCAACTTTTAGCGAATGAAATGGGCGACACTCGCGAACCTTGGACGCGGTGACGCAGGAACCGTGCGAAGGGCGACCTCGGTCGACGTGACGGGCGGGCCGAGTCGTCGGGGGAGACCGCCACGCAGGTGTCGCGCCTGGACTCGCGCAGCCTGATCGACAGCGAGGTGCTCCTTCCGATCGGCGACTACTTGGGGTCAGTGTTTTCTTCTTCTTTTCGATTTAGAGATTTTCTTTGCTAAATCGAACTTGGAAACTTTGAATAAAATTACGAACTAAATTCCATACGGAGGTCCCAACGTTTCAAAACCGGCTCGGCTTTTACCTTGGGGGCGATTATTTACAGATAGGGGACAGCCACGCCTTCGCCCAAACACCCGCATCGGCGTTTTCTTACATGAGAGGGACTAGCAAAGCGCTGGCATTCGAGTGTCACACAAACCGGTATCAATATTTGGGCATATGATGCCGCGACCGCAAAATCGTCCTTCTAAAGAAAGAGCGCCGGGTGTTTCGATTCCACGTGTGCAGGGCCCTGCCACCCACATCGGCGAAACGAAGAACGTCGTGGAAAGAAAATAGACAACACGAAAAGGATGTGCGCAAATTCGATCGCGCGCGCACTGCTGTTGCTGAGCACTGGGAGGACAATGGCAATTGCATAAGCTTCGCAAACACCCCTATAATAAATGAAGGGATGAACTTTCCGCCAGCTGCTTTTTATAGTTATGGCAGTACCAAACAGCACCAGAAAATGTCAATAGATTCACCGAACCATTACCATGCATCCTTCTACGTAAACGACCAAGTCACCTGATAAAGTGAAAGAAGAAAACATCACCGTTAAGGAAAACCAAGCTGCTGTACACTATCTGTAAATAGTCGTTCCGGAAGGAAAAGCTGGGACGGCTTTGAAACATCGGGACCTCCCTATAGGATTTGGTCGGAAATTTTAATTAATTTTGCAAGCTTTTTTCTCAACCAGGCAGACCTCGGCCAAAATGTTTACGTTTAAAACTAAGACCAACTACTTTCAGCACTCTCTAGAGGACGAAATAGACGATTGGAGGGTGGTGGGATGTTTAGGGGTTTTCTAGTTGTGTGACAATTCTGCAAAACATTATTGCCGTTTTGCGGGTTGGTGGGATTTTTACCGATTTACAAATCATTTTATCGTTTTTTTTTCCTTTTTCTTTTTGTCGATTCTTATGTTCTATATTTTTTCGTTTATCAATTCTAAATAGCTTAATTTTTCTGGTAAGTTCCCAGTCATGAATGGGGTCGTCACCAGTGCTCGCTCTCGACAAAATGGTCGTCACTGAGAGTAACGCTCTCGACGCCATTGGATTGTTATGGTGGTTAACATTCAAATGTGTTCTGAACTGATTTGTGAGTAAATTTATAAATGTATTTTTTTTTTTTAAGGTTCCTAAAGGAAAGGATACAAAGAACGGTTATAGTATTCTACTTTCCGACTGGGTATAGCCAGTCGGAAAGTACCACTCACCGTCAGGCGAGTCAGATACTACTTCTGCAGATTCGAACTTTCTGCAAAGCCTGTGAACTTGGTCGCTGAAACTTTAACGTGCCACCATATGCCACGCAAAAGCTCGGATCGATAGAGATGTGCGTGGTCAGGCATATTGCAACACACCTATTCTAACAGCAAGATGATGCATGGAAGCGACCTGAGAAAAAAAATCGAGAGCTTCTTTTTCAGAAATAATGTTATTTATTACACTGTTTTAGGCATACAAGTTTATTTTATTTAATAAAAAAAGTCATGTTTTTTTGTGTGTCTGCAGTTTAACAGCTTTTATGGCTCGTTCAGACCTACGAATTCGTAGATGAATCCACGGGGAAATTGACGCCGGGAAAGTTTCTACACCGTCGCAGCCAAGCGAAGCGCACTGAGGTAATGAAGCTCGCCGGCGTCACATCCTGGTTGAGTCGCGCGAGTTGTTGCGGTGGTTGGCGTTGCCGCCTGAGTTGTCGGAGTTCCCAAGTTTTGCAAATGGCACCGTCTCGATGGCATCGTGTGTCGGCACAAATGCCAATCGAGACTAAATTATTCGACACTGTTCGACAAGAGGCATCGAAGCAACGGAGACGGTGGCCACAAAGAATATACGTGGAATAAAATTGGCGTGGGCGCTATGTACACACGCTGTCTCCGTTTGCTCTTTCTTTTATTATTGCCTTCTCGTATCGCCGAGAGAGGCAATTTCTCGGAAGTCTGCGAGAGCATTTTTTCGAACACCAGTCGAGCCAGGGGCAGTCTGCTTCGATATCCGCAAAAGATCGGAGCCGCGTCAACGCGGCGGGTGGAAAACAAATCTGAACGGTGCCGTCCTTCTCCGCCGAGTAAATTCGGTCGGCGGCGAGAGAGTTTTCCGCAAGTGTGAACGCGGTCTTAGCGGCTCCTCCGCGATCCACAGGGCAAGTTTTTGCTCTCCGATTCACCAAGACTTTCTCGTGGTGCGACAGGTCCGAGCTCACGTCCCAGATGACCGATCAGCGGGGCCTGAGCCGTGGTTTCGACAGCTCGTTCGTGCGGCCGGAGCTGTCCTGCTCCGAAGTGCACCGCCTCTACCCGCACCTGTTCGCCCTGCAACCGCCGCTGAGCAGCCCCTACGACGAGTCCCCGGACCGGCAGCCCGCCGCCCACTCGGCAGTCCGCTCCTGGGTGAGGCTGCCCACACACCCAAAACAAGCACTGGGCGGCCGTCCCTCCCGCTAATTGGTTTGCGTGGTCCTGTTGACTTGGAAGGTTACGCCCACCATCAAATTACCTTACCCAAACATTTTCCTTGAGGTTTGAGTGTTGTGATGGACAAGGCCACATGTCTTGAAGAACCCCAGGGCTTCTAGACACGCTAGTATGCCGGCGCACAATCTGCCGTTCCGCTTCTGCTACCCAAGACATTCGAGGCGCTCGTCTCACGCACTCTAAAAAAAAGGACGTAAAAAGGTGTATCGTTACACCCTTTGTCCCATATAATACACCCCTAACTTCAATTCAACGTACAGCGCCTTATAGTCAGACAGACGGCTCCAAATTTTACGAGGGGCTTGATAGCCGTGTCGTACAACTAATGTACGTGTTACTGAGTACAAAAAAAAAAACTTAATCGGGGTCTTTTTTGGTTCTACTGCAAAAACTCACTGTTTTCTTTATGTGGTCTTTGATACATACTTCAGCAATCTAAAAAGTTACATCGCACCGCTATCAAGCCCTTCGTAAAATTTGGGGCCGTCTGTTCGGCTACAGGGCGCTGTACGTCGAACTAAAGTATTGGGGTGTATAATATAGGACAAGAGGGTGTAAGGTGATATCTTTTTTTTTTTAGAGTGCATGGTTTGAGTGCATGCCCACGTCTTTCGGGGGGCGGTACAGTTGACAAGTGGCCTTTTCATCGCGGTGGACGCTCCTTCTGACATCGTAAAATCGCGTAAATGTGAAGCGCAACGGAAACCCACAAACCGAGAGCCGACCGAGGCGAGCAGGTGGCAGGTTCATAGCCATAAGGCCTACGGATAACTTTAGCCTTAAGTAGATTAAACAATTAAGAGCGTAAACTATATGCAAACTATACGCTAAACGCATTATTTTCGTAATTAAAACTAGTAA